CAGTGGTGTGAAGACAGAATAAAAGGCCCATGCTGCTGCAAGGACTTTGGCACCAACAAACGCAGCTCTGACTGTGGCCCACCAGTGCTCAGCAGCCTGGCTCAACCTCCCTCTTCAGGGACTAGGAGGCTTCTGACCAGACTCTAATGCAAAGGTAAAAACCAGATTTCACCAGCCCTATGTGTCCATGACCAATGACTCTTATACAGGCACAACCAACATTCAGTGGATATCACCAGTCATGGAATTATCTGGACTCAAATGTCATAATGTTCAGCAGATTTGCCAGGCCAGCTTGTCCCCATGCATACAATCTCCTCCTCCCATACATATTCTTTGCATGAAACCATCCCCTCTGGTCTCCTAGCAGATGAGTTTTCAGGGGTTAAGTTACCTCAGAGGCAGTGAATCCAAGGGACAGAAACACCATCCCTGCACCAAAGTGGGAAGTCCTGTGCCCCCAGAACAGTTCCTGCATACCCAGAGCCCCTGCCATGTTCTAGAAATATCTGCTTCAAGCAGGCTGAAAACAAGTTGTGTCAATGAGGAGCTGGCTATTTGTTTTATACCCGGCTGCAAAACCCAGTTTCTTTCCTGATAACAAATTCCATAATGACCAACATGTCCTGAGAAAAGCTGGATGTTTTCAAGACCACATAACACTCACAGCATCATACCAAAACCCTGGCAGTGCAGGATTGGCCTGCCACCTCGGTGCCCCAGATGTAATGGCCAGGTACCCCAGAGGCCACTTCTGCCAGCCAGCTCCCTGGCCCCACTGCACTGCCCACACACCGGGGCCAGCCACTTGCAAAGCTTGGACCACCCAGAGCTGAGAATGAGGACAAAACAAAACCAAGGACTACTGCCACAAGGTTGTGTGAAAAATCAAACTACTTCCATGCTAGGGTAAGTTTTGTAGTAAAACATAAGCTCTTTGCAGCAAGCAGGAACTCTTTAGCTGAATCCCTAATTTCTCTGGAAACTAGCCCTGCTGCGTAACTCCCATGGAATCCAGTATCTGTCTTCTTAAACAGGGGGGTGGGATAACAAACTCAATCGTTTTGCTGAAGTGCTGGCAGTAACCTCTGTCCTAGCACGAGCAGCCAAAGAACTGCCTCTTATTGCTGTGCTTCATGCATCAAATTTCTTAAAAAACACAAACACATATATGTGGGATTTTTTTCAATAAAGACCTGAATATTTAGTATTCAACTCCACGAACTGTAAGGCAAGTTTAACTGTTGCATTTCTTATGTAGGAACTAGTTCAGTGGATTGGATTTGTTCCTATTGTTTGTAAAAGTAACAGGTATCGTGTAACTCCAAATTATTCTCTTATAAAAAGAACAAGTAAAACCAAAACACAGATGCTGAATGGGGTAATATTGAGGCGATGAATTAATGCTATTGAAGTGCTTTAGGATCCCTTCCACAAATTCAGGATTTTAAACTGCTAAAAGCAGTGCACAACTGCAACTTCAGGTTGTGCCAAGCTACCTCATGAAGCACAGACTGCTGCTGGCTTGGTGTTCCTGCTATAAATTGCTTGCGTTGAAAACCAAAAAGCTGAATGCTGAAGTCAGAGCACATTTTACAAGTGTCAGGAATCAAAGAGAGAATCAAGTTAGTCCAAGCTTTGTTCTCCTTTTGAGGCAACCCTGCCTGTATTTCCAGTGTTTATCACAAGTTAGACATCAAGTGGTATCACACACACCAGGAAAAAGCAAAGGACTGGCTCCTGCTGGTCTTCTGGAGGGGATGAACTCTTTGCCTGCTTTCACTGCCCGCTAGTTTCCCTTGCATTTCTTTCCCCCTTCCTCCCCAGCCAATGGAACTGCCCCAGCCTGAGGTGAAGCCACAATCCCATGTTTGTGGGACCACAGCCAATTGCATTGGAAATGACAATTTAAGCTGCAGAACCATGCAGCAGGAAGGACCAAGTGTCTGGGGGTTAGCACCACGTGCTCCTGACTCTGTGACTGCACAGGTTGGTGAAAATGCATGGTCTCTACATGGCTCAGCAGTGAGAAGGAATGTGGAGGATGCCTCCACAGGCTTCTGGTTGACCTTCCCAAGCACCAAGTGTAAGGCTCCTTCCCTGCTCCTCAAAGCCCTGTTGCCTCTGCAGATGCCCAGTATTGCAACTCTCCAGTACCTGTACATGCTTCACCAGCCTTCCATGAACTTCCTGGTCACAGGAATTCACAGGGTGTTGTCTGTGACCTACAGAGAAACCCTCTTTTTACTTCATCATAGTACAAGTGAACACAGTAATCCACTCTGGCTAAACAAATGGCATGACAGCTCTCAAAGAAAACTACAGGACACTTCAGAAGGCTACACTGGCTATGTCTGATGTCCACATTGGCTATTACTGATGAAAACCTGGACTGAGTTAAATCACTCTTACTAAAAATGGTCTCTATGAATAGCTCAGATCAACACTGAATCTGGCCCCACAGTGTTATTCCTCCAAACCTTAAGTGTTGTGCAGCAAAAACTCTTGCTGCAGCAGAACTCAGTAGCAGGGAAATGAACTCCTGCTTTGAGCAAAGAGCACCTGAAGGGCACATCTCTTGTTCCCCAGGAAGCCCACCAGCCCACAGAGGCAGCTCCCCATAGCCATGGCCTCCACAGTAGTCCCCTGGGCCCCTACCCTAATGACTGTCACTCGCTGTCCCTAAATCCACTGGCAAAGCTCAAACTCCCACTAACAGAGCAAAGGCACAGCTCCCAACTGCTTTGAGCTACATCCCCACTATGACTCCAATGCGCTCCAATATACAGCTGAGCTTTTGTCCTTCCAATAGACTTTGTGATAAAACAAAGCAAGGTTGGACCATGTCCCTGGGTCTGTATTACGTTGTCCAGTTGCATGACACCACGTGTTATCACCAGGCATTTATTCACTGGAGTTGTCTCCCTGTAGAAATGTTGGTGCTTTAATTGTAATTAATGTAATTACAAGAAAACAAACAAACAAACTAATAATAAGGCATGTTGGTCTGTTGTACTTCCAATAAACTGTTCACTGCAAAAATTAGATCTCTGCCTGTTGTCTTGGGCACAGGCAAGCCTCTTACTTTCAGCTTCTCTAATAAACAAGTTGCTTGGGCAAGAGTAGATGACTTGAGCTTTCTCACTGTTTCTCAATCTGTGAAATTATTCAAAGTTCAATTTGCCTTGACAAAAGTGCCTTTGTGTGCCCTGCATCTGCAGAGTCCAACACAGACAAACTCCCCATGGCTGTGTAGGCAATGGGGCTCAGCATGCACACTTCATTTCCCATCGCACTGTCCCATTCTGGGTCACCCCAAAGCTTGAAAGCCACAGTACCAAGTCATACAATTCCTTCTAGCTATGCACACACAAAAACGCATGTATGAAGCTGCCCACCCTCTTAGGCAAGATGTGCAGATAAAAGGGGTTACTTACTTACTGACCCTTACTTTCCCAATGCTTATCAGCTGAAGGCCTCAGAGGAAGAAATATAGGGGCAAAAATTATCAGGAAGAGAGGAGCTGCTGAAGGAAATCCTCATCTATAAAACACTGGAGATAAGGGTCTACATAAGACCTTAAAAGGGAACAAGGCTTTTTTTTTTAATTTTGGCACAGCTAATAAAGAAAAGCTCACAGCAAAGCACGTAGACAGGCTGTCAGGAGCTTCAGCTCCTTTTCCAACAAGCAGCAGCAGCATAAAATTGTTAATGCAGTGGTTAGTTCTGCAGCTGCTACTTAAACCACGTGGGCAAGGTTGATACTGACAGGAATAATGTTAAGTTTGTTCCTGACTCTGTAAAACACCTGTAAAGGAGCAAAGCTCAAGAACATGAACTGAGAAACATGCCATTAAGAAACTAAAAAGCAGAGGCTGAAGAAATTAAAGTGCAATGAAGAAACCTCAGATTAAGCATTGCCTAGCTAGACATTCCTATAGACGACAGTGGGCACTTAGGACAGCCTGATGCTCTTCCCCAAAACCAAGAGAGCTCAAGTCACCATAGTTCACTGTTGCGCTTCCACTAGGCTCAAGCTAGTGGGTCTAGGCTTCCAGATCATCAATGACTGCTGTTAATCAGGGTTTGCACTCCAGACCCAAGTGGATGTTTCTGCAAAATGCCAAGACAACCACTACACCTCTTGGTGCTAAGATGCCGGTGATTTTTTATTCCATCTTCAAAAATGAGGAGGTGGGAGGTTTGCCCCTGTTCATAGTTGAAAAAGAGTGACCTTAAGATGGCTATTAAAAATTTCAGCTCCTAACAAGCTTTTTAACCAACAAGAGTGAATAGCCTTACTTGCCTGATGCAAAAATGAGCCACAGGACCACTGAAATCTCAACAAGATATTCATTCAACACTATTAACTTAATCATCTTCTTGCCCAACTGCTAGTGCAAATAGGACCAAAACCAGAACAGCAAGCCATCTCACCCTCCAGCAGAAGGACTATACTGTGGAGCTGGATGAATTAGTTTATCACTTTCACTTTGGTGTAAGTTGAGAAACTTTGTGCCTAGTGATACCTTCAACACTGTCACTTCCAGATCAATGTGCCGCCCCCCACTGCTGGTGCAGTACTTGTAGTTTGTGTCCATGAGAGATACCAATCTGACTGGCTCGAAGTAGCAGCTCCAAAATCCCCACTGTTTTGGTTTTTCTTCCATGTTCGGTGGCGCGGGAGTAGCTATTCTTTCATAAAAGTATAAAAGAGGTCCTGCAGCAAACCGAATCAGCGACTCTGACTCTACCGGCGCCGCGGCCAGACCGCCGACATCCCCCGCTGGGCGGGCGGAGCTCCGCGCACCGGGGTTGCTGAGGGGGCGGCGGGGGACGCTGCGGGCAGCCGGGGCGGAGGAGCCACCGCAGCACCGCCAGCGTCTCCTTCAGGGCCGGCCCCGGGGGCGAGAGCGGCCGGACCCCCCGCGGGCCCACACCGCCGCCCGAGACCGCGCCCCGCCGTCCCGGCCCCGGCCCAGCCCCGCGCCGGCCCCTACCGTGTCGTCCGCGGGGGCCGCGTCCTGGAGCTGCTCTTGGCCGGAGGAGGCGCGGACGTCGCCAGCGGCCGGGCCGGGGCCGGGGACCGTGCCGGGCGGAGGGTCGGGGCCGGGGCGGACGGGCGGCGGGGCGCGGCGCTGCCCAACGTGCAGTGCCCCGAAGTCGAGCGTCTTGCTCTCGAAGGCGCCCTCGACGTTGCAGAAGAGGCCCCCGCGCTTCTGACGAGGCACCGCCGCCGTGCCGGGCCGCGCCAGGTACACCGGCAGCTCCTCGTCGTCGCGCCACCCGTCCGCCGCCATCCCCGCCGCGCCGCCGGGACGGGACGGACGGGGCAGGATGGGGCGGGCCGGGCCGGGCCGCGGGGCGGGGCGGGCCCGACGTGGGGCGGGGGGCGGTGGGACCGGGTGGGTGGCGCTCGCTCGTACCGGCCGTCGGTTGCTCCGGTGTCTGCTGGGCCGGCCGTTGCTGAGCGGGAAACTGCCACCGGCCGAGCTGCCGTCGGCCGCCTTCCTGGGACGCTGCAGCCGTGAGGACGGAGCGGACGCACGGGAGCGCCTCGCTGCTGACCGTGCGAGCCGCTCGGCAGATGGGCTGTGCTCGGACGCGCCGGCGGCAGCCCCGACAGCCGCGTGTCGGTTTTACCCCGCCAGTACGCGGTGCAGCCCACAAACCGGCGTTTGCTCACGGGCCCGGGACCGTACCTCGTTCCGCTTGGGCCGCGGTCCCTGCAGATGCGCTGCGTTTAGCTGGACGCTACAGCCAGACATGAGCAATGTCCCCTGAACAAAGGCTTCACCGCTCCCAAACGTGACCGCGGGTGCGCCCGTCTGGCCGCACAAACAAGCTCCGGGTGCTGGCCGCTTAAAGGTGTTGCTTTGAGAACTCCATTGCAACTTCATTTCAAAAGTACTGGAGACCCGAAGGACAGAAAGACAGCCAAGACTGGGTTTTACAAATGCTAGTGGCTGTATAACAGTAGTAATATGTGAAATCTATCGTGAGCACCAAAACTGGAGCTTTGACTAAAATAATTTTGCCAAGTGCTCATTTCTTTATCCAGAACAAGCATGCATGGTACCTGGGCTCTACGTCTTGTCAAGTGATTCCTCACACCACATTTTTATGTTATGCGATATTGTCAGTCGTGTTTTTTTCAACCTTTTCTGCAGAAAACGAAACAGTGCCATTATCTCTGCCAGTCCTCTGAGGACTGGTGGTTCTTAAGGAAAATCCACATGGAGCCTGACCCATCATAGGTCAGAAAAATGACCCTGTGATTAAGCCTGGAGAGGCAGTCTGGGGGGCTGACTGAGGCTTGAGGCTGTGTGGGAGGAAATGGTTTGCAATAATTTCCCTCCTTTTGCACATTGGGAAGCAGTCTGCTTTTGTAACTGGACTTGTACCAGTGTCATTAACTGAATCCATTTTTTTCTCCATCTAAGTCAAATAATCTACAGTAACTTGAATTTCTGAATAATTATTCAGGTCTAAAGGGTTAGGAGAAGAGAGGATGGACTAAATATTTGCAGACTGTATCTGTAAACTTGGGAGAGTTACTTTAAAAGCCTTGAGTTACACAGCACGGTGAAATACTGGTCAGCGTCTGCCCTTACTTTCTCTAAAGCAGCACCAGAGAGGGTTGCATTTGGTTGTTCTTGGGCTCTTATGTGAACTTTAATATGCAGCTGCCCCAGCATTGTGGCTTCATGATGCTCAGCACCATGAGTGTCATGCCCACACCAGAGCCCCGCTGCCACCTGACCAGGATGTGCCAGAAGAGCCCAGCACTGTCACATTTCAGATGCAGGGGCAGCAGCAGTGGCTGGCAGCTAGAGAAGGAAGTATCCCTTCAGATAGCCAGAAAGTGTTTGTTCTGGAGTGTTTTCCTACTCCTAGTCTCCTGGCAAACGCTCCTCTTCTGTAACTGGATGCTTTAGCAGCAAGACCACTAGTACTGGCCAAGCAAATGCACACAAAGTGACTGCCCACCAGGTCTTTATGTTCCTAAGGGACTGCCTTAGCATAAAGGAAATAATCCTCCTGCTGCAAGTGGGATCCACTGAGAAGATGAAACCCCCTCTCAGACAGCTTCTGCCCCTGGTGAGTGGGATGTGCTGACCGTGGAGCTGGTGGCTGGCATGTTTCACACAGTGAGCTGAGCTCCTGCCTCCTCAGGACCAAGCAATAACACATGAGGAGTGAGCCTCTCCTGAGAGGAACAACATGCCCTGCCCTGTGCCTGTGTGCACTAACCACTGAGGAGTTAGAGTGAACCCCTTGTTTTGGCTGGGACATCTCCGTATAGCTGTGCAACTTTACGGGGAATTAAAATTCTCTGGAACAGGGCCTGGTCTTTGTCTGATTCTGCAAACATGCAAAAATTTCAGCATTGTACTTTAATAGCAATATTTATTTAAATCTTGATTCCAATGTTTATCTTTCCTAGTGCCTTGCTGCGTAGATGGTTGCACTGAAATTATCTGCACAGTACGGAGCTCTTCTGGGGACTGAAGGCTTTAAAATCTGACTCTTAATGAAAATCATTCCATGTATAAAAGACAGTTCTTGATTTATACTTTTCAAATTGCCATTTACTTATAAGATCTTTTTTGTTAGGTGTTGTAAGGCTACTAGTTCAAGAATACCATGAAAATTGAAGTTTGTATTCCGTGCGTGTTCACAGCACAGTTGTTTTTGAGCCCAGCAGAAGGCTTTATATTTCTGTATATGTATGTCTTGGATCAGACATGAAGCTTTTAATTATACAATGACAAAATGTCTGCCTCCGGTAGTTAAGTAAATGTTCTCTTCTTTAAATCACATGCTTATATGCTCATGGACAACAATGTTTGTCAGGCAAACAGTCATGAGTGGTGCAAACTCAAGCTCTGCTGGCAAAGCAGCTCTCCTCTCACCTCTCTGTACAAAGTAGATTGAAGATAGAAATCAGGGAGGGGAACCAGTGGGAAGGCTGCTTCCCCTGCCTGGGCCCAGGGAGGATCTAGATGGTAGGCATGTGAGCTCATGTGCTTTGTGCTGCCACGGGACCCACTAGAGCCAGCCATCAATCCTGCAAGGGTTTCCTTGGCTCAAGGACTGGATTCACATCCTGACCGCAAAACAGAATTACTGGTCCTCATGGGTCAGGAATCTGAGCTGAGCCTGACAGATGGGCACCACTGGTCAGGAATAGAAATAGGCTGCTCTTCTGATCTAGGGAACAACATTTATTTTATGGGAAATTCTGTAATGGCAAGCTTCTAATTCATGTCTTTCTAGTTGAGTAAGAACCGTTTAAGGCACACTGAGAAATGGAAATCAGTCATCTTACAAGGTGAGCCACACTGGTTATGAATGGGGGAATGGTGCAGCCTTCTGGGAAGTTATCTTTAAGCAAATCCCTTTCTGCAAAAGGATTAGTTAATAAGATGGGACATAATCACCCCATCTGGGGTGCGCATTTTCTTGTTCTGTGCTCTCAAAACCCCGGTGCTGTTTTTCTTTGTCCTCACTGACTGCTGCCAAAGCACCAGCTGGGGTTCCTGTCAGAGCCTGTGCAGGGAATCGCAGGCTCTAAACGCCCAAGCCTCAGAGTATCCACTGAGAGGCACAACCTATCATGTAACTTTCTCAAGCATTTTCTTCATGAAGCTGTCAAACATACTGTTATCTTCTAAATGTTTGAAGAGGAATTCAAATTGCCAACTGAATCATTCAAATAGCAAAGGTATTGACAGAGAAGTCAAATTAGGTCATTTTGCCTGCCACTGCCAAGGCACTGTTGTCCCCCAATAGGTATTTTCTGATGACTTTGCTAATTTATTTTCCATTTGTCAGGGCAGTGGGCAGTTTCTTAATTGGAAAAACTCCACATCCTCTGCTGGCAAACTTCTGTGCTGGTTCGCAGCTCCCAGATGGTTTGTGCAACATCATTCTATCTGTAATAAAAATAGAAAATGGTTTAAAAGGGTGAAGAATGTCCCAGATTGTGATATGTTGTTCACATACTGTCACTGGAATTTGCTCATTACACCAGGAAGTATCTCAGGTTCCATAGCTGTCACTACAATGCTCATTAGACTCAGAGAATATTGTGTTATTTGAAGGAAACAGACTGTTGACATTAGGTGGGATTTGACCCCTTTCTTCACCAATGCTGGCAAGCTTGAGCCATGTCCTGAGTGAGGACATTTCCTTCCTTGATGTCTGATCCAGAGTGGTCTTACACTGATTTTCCTGTGGGTCTGGAGGCAGCAGTCTTTGATTGCATGTGAAAAGGATGTGATGTAATGACTGCATAACATTGTGAGCAGGATAAATGCACATCAGCTTTTGTAGCTTGTTTTCTTCTAATGTCTGTGGGTTCAGCTGGAGAAGCAGCAGGACAATGGTAGTAGCAGGTCAACACTGATTTCTTCTGATTCCTACATGATTTGGTAAAACTGCATCCCTTTATTACATGCATGATAAGTTGCAATGATTAAGTAAGTCCTAGTTATCTTGTTTCATGCAAACTTAGAGCTGCCTTCTCACACTGTGTAGTCATGATTTACAAGCATGTCCTGTTTTTGGAGGCTGGCAGATAAACAGTAGTTGTTCTACTATCATTCTTGCAGCAATGTCAGGACAGCCCCTGGCACTGCCTTTCATATGTCTCAGGGAAAGTCAGGCTAAGTACAAATGCAGAAGAAACAGTGGAAGAGTCAAGGAAATCTGACTGTCCCACTTACATTTAGAAGCAGAGGTCAGAGATGGGTGGGCTTCTTTGTTCACTCAGAAAACGCATGTTATGAAGGGCGGGTGACTGATGAGCCTGATATCTCAATCAGCTGGGGAGGGCCAGTGGCTGACGCCTGCATCACCACACTCCGGTTTCTAAACTTTCAGACATAGGCATGTTAGAAGATGAGACAGACCTTTGTGATGCTCCAGGCTGCTCTGGTATCAGCCCCTGGGGAACTGCTGTGCACAGGGTGTTGTCCTTGGTGAAATACTTTACCAAAACCAAACCACTGCAGAGTCAGAAAGGCAAAGCATTTGACTCTGTCAAAAACTTGTTCAGTATTTCATGCCAAAACCACAGGGAGAGTGGGTTAACAGTGTGGTCATTTCTACTGCAGAATGCTATTGTATTGTTGGAGGGAGTAACTTGAAGCAACACAGAGAGCCTGACTTCAGCATGCTGTCAGTCTGTCATACTAACAGAGACCACAAATCTGATAAGCAGCTGGAAGTTATAATCTTCTGTGCTTGGTTACTCCAAGAATATTTCTGAAATGCAGTAATGCTTTTTGTTCCCAGATTTGTTTAGTGCTGAGCAAAACCCTATGGAAAATTCCAGTATTTCAACACATAGGGTATTTTTTTCCTCCTAAAATGAACTGCTAGTCAAAATATTAATAGTAATTGTGGAAAAAGAGTTCTGAATTTTTTTCTGTGGCGAATCTGGACTCTCCTTCACCAGGTCCTCCAAGGAAGGACTACTATCTTCTCAGTGTTGAAGGACTCCCATGGCACTGCAGGCCTTGCAGTCAGATGCAAACTGAGCCAATTTAGAAGTTGTTTGGGACAAAAGGCACCAGAAATAAGTAATGTTTTCAAGAGGGTCAGAAGCACAGATCTGGCATCAGTGTGAAATCCCAAATATTCCAACCTGCCTAGAGTGTGCTGGGCCCACCCAAACTAACAAGGAAGAATAGGTGGTGACCTGGGAGGTTCTGCACAGCCACCATGAGCTCCAGCCAGCTTCTATTAAGATGGACACACCGAGATATGTCACTCCAGATTTCCAGGAACAGCCAAGAAAACCTGAAGACATCTTCTGTTGTTTTCATGTCATTGGGTACCTTCAGGATCAGAGTTTCAGGAATAGTGAGATTTTAGCTACTGTAGCAGCTGTCTGGCTTGGTGTGACATGGACCGTTAGGGCCTGGATGAGATGGATTTACATAAGAAAATACTTATTCTGTGTAAGTTTGAAGCCCAGGATATTCTGCCAGATGTGTGCCACCAGATTCACTTCAAGAGCAGTCAGCCCACTTCCTCTGAATTCATGTTCTGCCTCTCAAAATCAGTCTCTTTCCACCTGGTCCTGTTTGTTCTTTGCTTACTGTATGGCATTGTCCAGCATCTTCCCTGGGCTGTGAAGCCTGGCTTGGCTGGTCTCACTGTGTGTTTGGCCTCTGTTGTGATGGCAAATGCTGACTTGCTTCCAAGCATATCTGCTGTTGTGACTACTATCATTCCAGCTTATCTTAGGGATCACCAGCTACTCTCCTCTGTGCCTGCTTTTATTCCCAGAAATTATTTGCATGACTAAGCTGAGATTTCCTTGTTTCCATGGTGTTGCACTTGATCTAATCAACCATTGCAGACCTAAAGTGTCCTTTCTTTCAACCTCTCTCTCCAGCCTATGGCTTCAGGGGAGCACACTGATGCAAAAACAGGTGGCATATCTAGAGATAATTAGTGATTATGTGCCAGTGATTACAAGCCTATAACGAATAATTAGATGTCAGCAGAGTAGAATTACAGTGGGTTTAAAGGTACAATGTTTGCTTGTTTGTTTATATGGCTGCTTGTGACTGTGAGGAAGCAAGCAGTCAAATATACTTTGGCCAGGCTGGTGAAGGAAAAAGAGCTGCCATTTGTGCATTTTTTTTGTCATGGCCCTGCACAGCCTGGATAGTGCATGAAAGAAGCTCTCTAAGTACTGCAGGAGCCAGGCTGTGACTGAAGATCCTAGTCTGCTTGCCTGTCAGTCTATTTGCTGCTGCTTTGGAGGAAAACCGTATTCTGTAAACTGGAGTGACTTATGCCATGCAGGAGCTAGAACCTGTGCTTGCCATGGCTGGGACTAAATTTTTCACTTAATTTTCATACCTCCAGCTGATCTATTTATGTTAGAAATTGTGTTCAGTCCGTATTCACTATCCTACCAAATTCTCCTTTGAAATCAGTGTTAAGCTGTCCTACCATTAAGGACTGGTGGGCTATCCCTTCCACACAGATGTTAAAATAGATAATGTCCATCTGTGTTGCTCGCTATGTATGTCCTAGGGAAAAGCAGGCATACCTTACAGCCCCCCTTTTTCAGGGAATAGAAGAAAAAGGCTTCTATACTACCAAAATCCATCACCTCAATACAGCCTGCACTCCACTCCTTTGTAAGACCACTCTTTTGCAAGCAGCTTAGATTTCTTGAGTGTAAAAAGGACGAGAGAGGTATAAATACCTGGCTACAAGTTTGCACTTCCAAATGTGCTTCCCATTTACCTTCTAAGATTTTCTTGACAATTTTCTTCCAAAGGACTGTTTTGGAGCGTACACAGCTCCCTGTGCCCTCGGACTGGAGGTGCCGAGTGTTTTGTCTCTGTGACAACCACTGCCGCTGTGCACTGCTGACCCACTCCTCAAAATGAAATGACTCTATGATTGAAAATTCATTTTAGGCATAGAAATTGCAAAGATTTGATGGGGAGGGAGGCAGTTCCAGAATGTGAGGCTGTAAAGGGCCGGAGGTGTGGCGCTGAGCCCCGCAGTGAAACAGGAGCGGAAGCCAGGTGGGGCCCTACAGCCTCTGGGGTTACGGTCACGTCCCCGCGCTTCTGCCGAACCGTTCCGAGCCGCTCCGTCCGGCCCGGCGGCCCCACGCTGCCCTCTGGCGGCACTCGCGGAGAGCGGCCCCGGCCCCGCCTCGGCCCCGCCCCGCCCAGGCCCCGCCTCGGGCCCGCCTCAGCCCCGGCCCCGCTTCGGGCCCGCCCCAGCCCCGCCTCGGGCCCGCCCCAGCCCCGGCCCCGCCCCCGCCCCGCCTCGGGCTCGGGCCCGCCTCGGCCCCGCCTCGGGCCCGGTCCCGCCCCCGCCCCGCCTCGGCCCCGCCTCGGGCCCGGTCCCGCCCCCGCCCCGCCTCGGGCACGCCTCAGCCCCGGCCCCGGCCCCGGCCCTGGCCCCGCCTCAGCCCGTGCCCTCCACGTCGGCCTCAGTTCTGGCCCCGGCCCCAGCGGCAGCCAGCGAGCGGCGGTTTTTGTATTTAAAACTGCGGCAAGAGCCTTCAGCAGTTCCCAAGCCGTACGCCGCGGGCTCCAGAAAGGCAGCAGCTTGCTGTTAGTTTTGGTTTCTGCACAGGGCTGGCAAACAGCAGTAAATTCACCCTTGGCCCCGCTGGGACCGCTACCTGCCGTCCCTTTTCCCAGTGACCGCGCCAGGATCTCGCTCACTCTTTAATCGGTGTGCTCCCCACCCCAACGTGACCCCCGCAGCCCTTGCTGTGTCCCAGTCCCCGCGCCCCAGCATGGGCCTCCGTAACTCAGCTTGAACGTGATTCCTCTGAACAGGTTCCAGATATGCTGAATATCTCTGTGAACGTAAAGTGTTGGGTTTATTTTTTTAAAAATGCTGCTCTTTTATTTTTTATACAAACTAAAACACCAGAGGTCATTGAATCCTATATTAAATACATAAATTAAAAAATAACCATTCATAAAACTTTACATACAATAAGGATTCTCTCCTACACGTTAATACATATAGTACAGGTACATGTCCAGTGTTTATCAAAGGGTCATTCTGCCAAGTAATTGACAGTTTTGTTCTGGAATAGACACCAAAAAAATCTGGAACAAAAAGTATATATAAAACCACAGAGGTGCTGATGTGAGAGAGGGCAGGGGAAGAGAAAACCCTTTGGATCACCAGCAGTTTGTTCTCTGAGCCCTGCTCACGTCAGGAGAGCCTGGCCTGGGCAGTCCTCATGGGATGCCACAGAACTGAAAGCTTTGCGTTTCAAGGATACTTCCCACTGAGATAACGGTAGGCGGTTGGAAGATGAACAACACCTAAAAAAAATTCCCCACTGTCCTCCAGGCGCATCAGTAAGAGAGGATGGACCTGTGAGCCAGGCTGGTAACACTGCAAGTACCATTTCCTTACTGCAACCCCAATTGCCTAAATACATCTCACTTAACCAGGCCCTCATCTGAAGTGCTTACATTAAAAAAATAGTCTTCAAAGTCTCATAACCTGGTCATTGAGGGAAAAAAAAGCAAGTCAAATGAGCTTGACCACAATTTGACTTGCCATGAGGACTGCCCAGGCCAGGCTCACCTCCTGCTTTGGCGGGATGGATAGCCTGGAGTGCAGCTACTCCTGAACAGCCTTGAATGGATGCACAGGAGGGATCCAGGGCTGTATTTGCTGTCCTCAAAGGCTGCAGTAAATTGATCTTTATTTTTCTTGTTGGTTTTGGGGAGGGGAGGTTGGCTGCAGTGACTAATCTGAGGCAGGATTCTCAATCCTTTCCTTCAATGAACATCAGGAACCGCAGAAAGCCCAGGATTAACAGTCCAAGGAGAGCGAAGGGTCCAGAAAAAAAAGAATAAAAAATTAGCTGTCCATAAGATGTGAAACTAAACCTGGAACAATGTACCAGCTGTGGCAGCTAAATAATCTTAATTCAGTTCCCCATGCCTAGATTGAAGTAACTTTCGTAAGCTACAGCAATAATTTCTATATACAATAGGGAATTGCTAAGTATATGCATATATATGTATATATATGTACATATACATATAGATACATGTATATATATATATATATATATATATATATATATATACACACACAGACATGAAACTCATTTTGATCTAGCTGATAGAAGAAAGTTTGTATTAACTCACATCAGCATGTGTGTTTTAGGCATGGCATGTGTTACACTGCAAGGACAGTAAAGCAGCGGTCGCCCAGCTCCCTGGAGGGAAGAACAATCTTTGAAAAGTTTGCAGACCCAGGTCTGCTGCAGTCAGACTACCAGCCCCCATTTCACCCTGAACCCTTGGGAATGCAATACCTGCACGCATATGAAGGAGAAGCTGTTCAAAAAACTCTTCAAAAGCTCTTTAAAAGCTTCTGATGTGTGTAAGATGTTGGTACATGTGATCCCTGCTTTGAAAGTGTAAGTAATGCACAAGCTGCACTCTGGCCCTTAATTTTCTAATTTCTAGTACAGAAATCCATTTCTTCCAGTTAAAATTAAGGCTCCATCACAGAAGACGGAGCCTTGCCACAGGAATACAAAGTCTGAACAGGCAGGACTCCATTCCCCAGGAAATGAAACCAGAGGCACTGAGAAGTGTGCTGTCAAGCTCATTAGTGAGAAAGGGAGGGTGGGTGCAGCTGGCTGCACTGCTTCCCTCAGCACAGGACCCTCACAGTGATTGCTGCGGGTATTATGCTTCTCAGGGAGTATGTCACCCTGATTTTTAAGATTTTCTAAAACCTTCTGAGTTTACATTCTTGTAGAAAACTTTCTCACACAACTTTCTGTAAACAACCTATTGTTTTACATTCCTTCGTGGAGGCAGAGAAAGTTTAACGTACTAGTAGTTTGTTGGAGAGGTGGTATGCTCACCTTCCAATCCACTGTCACCTTTAGGAAAGTACAAATGTTAAGAGTCAGAAATAAAACTTCCTCTTTTTTACCTTTGCAATAGCAGTGACTCACATCGTGCTTCTTTCATGTCGTATAGTAACAGGAAAACTCTCCTGAAAGAGTACTAGGGTTCATGGACCTGCATTTCTGACAAAGTACTGGGTGCATGGACCTATGACCTCAGGGAGGCAACACAGCTGGGTTCCAGGCTTCGTGATTACAGAGGTAAGTAATGCTTTCAAATGAAAACTATTTTAGTTACTCTTACCAGTGGAAAATCTAAACAGACTAGCAATATTTCTTATTTGCAATAAGGTTGTGTTCACAATGTTTTTCCCCATTTTTGGTCTGTGTATCATTGATCAGGAAGCCAAATAACAAAGTCAGATAACAAGCTGAACCAAAACATTTTTTCCAAGTTGGGACAAAACAGTTGGAAGCTGATGCTTTGTCAATCATGTCACATGGATAGGGGATTAGCATTCCTCCCTGCCCTGTCCTCCAACATTTCTTCTCTTTCTCAGAAGCTACTCTGTAGGTCCAATTCAGTGATCCTCAGTGGTTACTTTATAGTAAAACCAAGTACAGTCATTATTATCTCAATGGCAGTCTTTAAAGAATATGAAAAGTATCTGATAATAGACAGGCTGTTCTTCATGGAGGGATGGTGAAGAGAGATATGGCTTCAACTCCACTGGAAACCTTCCTTATGCCATTCACCCTCTTCTTCCATTCCTTGGCCAAGGCAGGTGGTGCTGTGTAACAATCTCAAGCATAAAGCATGGTGACCTGTCCTGCCCATCCTCCAATAACACAGACTGGTTTTTTTTCCCTTTTTTTCTTCCACAATGCAGCTGTCATTTGTTCCTGAGGTTAAAACCAAAGAGGGAGAGCAGGAGTCCCTGCAGCAAGAAAGCCACACACTTCAAATTGAGCACTTTGTTGCCAGCATCTCTTGAGTTTCTCCTACTCTGATCTGCTAATTTTTGATCCATTTGTCAGATGACAAGATGACATTTAAATGATTGCCCTGCACAGCAGGAATAGATTTTTCTATTGTAACTTTGGTTCCATGCCCAAGACACACTGACTTGATCAGCTGAAAGTGGTTCCTTCCCTTTACGTTCTTCCTAGGTGATGTAGGTTGTCTGTTTATTTTTCTTCCCCTTTTGTAATTTCAACATACAGGATTTCATTAGATGCAGCATATATAATAGTTTTAGACAGGAATTGTCAGGTAACAAATTTTGAGTGATGGCTTTAAAATACAAGATGGTTGCAGTCTTGACTACAGGCTGTTCATTTTTATACTTTTGAAAATAGGTGTAAACAATATTCTCTTCATCGAGGGGTGGAAGCATTTGCCTTTATAAGGACTTATCTGCATGGTCGGGCACTCTGAAAGTTTAAAAAAAAAAACAACATCTGTATCAGATAAGGTAAAGTTTGTTCCTCTACCCACCTATTCCAGATTTGCCAAGATACAATCAATCTATCAGTCAGGAAGCTGAAAAGGCTAGGTCTTATAACTATCAGTGTGAAACTTGTTTTGTCTGTATGAAAATCACTTGTGAAAATTCAGTGTATTTTGATACATTTGTCCATTTAAACCCCACAAAGTTCAGCCCTGTGGTGCATAAAAGTCCCCATGGGCACGTTCACATGAGTAGTATGCATAAGTTTTAATGACTCTTGAACCAAAACTGCCTACATTCACCTGTAACAAGAGCAGCAGGCAATACCCTTGAGGTGTCAGAGCAAGCCTGGAATTTTGTCTAATGCAGCACTGAGGCAAACAGAAACTGCTACTGTCCTGAGAAAACCTACCCTACCTATGAAAAAAACCAAAAAACTTTGGTTCTCAGGTTTGAGACCAGGGAAAAAAGGGCATATTTGGTTTTTGTTATCTCAGCATTTCAGGCCTACGTAGTAAAATCCACTGGGTGCAAAATCCACACAGACCACACTTCCTTATGTGATCACAAACAAGTGAATATGTATGTTCACAAGCACAGAGAAAATGCAGGTAGGAAAATCCCATATAAACAGGAATTAGAGAGCTTCTGGTCTGGATACTGTATCTGCTGCACATGGCTTCCTTCATTTGCACATTCTTGTCCTCTGTTATTTGAGTACAGCAGTGAGTCAAGTGTTCATTCAGGGTGAGAAGGAAACCAGAAAGTATCATCTGTGACCACACTGGGGGTTTCTCTCTCCTGGTTAAAACATTGGTAAAGGATAAACTGCACCAAGGCATGAACAAAACCAAAGATTTTTCACCATCAAGCGGCTCCCTAGGATGAGCTGGACTTTTTATTTGTTTTGTCAGGGATCTGTATGAATTCCCTTATGATAAGGCTAAGACAGTTCACTTGCATCCAGTGGAAGTAAACAATTTTACAAAATATACAGGTGAATAGTTGTAAGAAGAAATGTTGATGGCACACTCCCCATGCCATGCTCACCTTGGCTGAATTAAATCACCTGGGTAGGCAGGTGTTTTTTAACACGAATGGGCAACACAAATCAATGTTAGTTATTCTCTCCAATTCCATGTATTCCAGCCTTGGAAAATATGGCTTTGCTAAAATCCCTCTCCATCTTGCCAACACCATTCCCAAATTGCTTGTGTCTGGAGATTTCCCCTCAGGTGTTGAGGGGATAGGATCCCATAGAGGAAAATGCAGGGGTGAAGGCAGGGGATGAGGAGCTTACCATTACCTTGTTTTTGAGGAACTGCTACAAGACTTGATGCTTTGCACCTGTGGAGTGACTGGCCTTGGTAAAACACTCTACAGGTATCATGCGTGCTGTGATGCTGGGCCTGCTGCAGCTGTCTTTACAGTTCAAGGGAGTTCACAGCAGTGCAGATCCTCTGGAAAAGCATTGAGTTTATATATCCCCCAGACACACCTCACCCATAAGATTTTTCCACCTCCATAGTCAATGTCAATTCTCTAAATCACTGTATCTCCGCCACTGTCATGGCTCTTTCCTCTGTCACTCAGCTCACCGTAATCCGTCTTGTTGATCTCTGACGTTCACAAAGCCAAATTTGTAAAAGCAGGATGGGAAAGGCAAAAGAACCCTTCATCTCCTGGGCGGTCGTACAAGTGCCACAACTGCCTAGCAGGCTTTATGGGGCTGTAACCCACATTTCAGCTCCTGCTGATACTTCTCATCTTCTCTATGGGGAACAAGACCCCTGTGTGCTCCAGGGACCAGCCATCATGGAGCACCAGTGACTTCAATGAATTAAACTCATCTTGGCATTGTAGTTAGAGCAGCAATCCTGGGCTCAACAAAGTGATTTCCAAGGGATTTACACCTGCTAAACCTTAGATGTTATGTAAAACAAGAAGAAAATGCATTGAAGGAGATTGGGCCAGAATGGGGGGTGGAGGGTGGGGAGAGAAGGGGCATGGTGAGAGAAGTGAATTCTTGACACAGTCCCTAAGGGATCCACGTAAATTCCCCTGCAATGACATCAGTCAGTTGTGTAGGTGGGACAGTCATGTCAGCCCTAAAGACAGCACAGAAATGTTCATGTTGTTTTGACTATTAGTCAATGAACAGTTCAATGAACACAACACCAAGGTGTGCATCAGCTCCATGAAGAGCGTGAGCTGAACAGGACCCAGCAGCCCATGGAGGCAGGATGACTCCAAGTGAAAAATAGCAAGCATACTAGAACTTAGGAAAAATATGGAGTTCTGACCTTAAGCATCTCATTAGCTTTTCTAACCAGCCAATACCTGCCCTCAAATTAGGCCAAAAGAATGTGTTATCAGCAAATGGTATTAGGAGATTGGTATTGGTAATACTATGACGTATAAGCTTCTCACCAATTCTGTAGCTGTACTAGAAGAGGCAAATACTCACTAGAGAACCAATGCCATACCCACACTGGTGGGAAATGTAGGTGCAAAGTGTATATATAGAAAACTCTGAACCTCTTATTGCCCAAGTTTTTCTCATATGCTGCACAAGGACATTATTTTAGTTGTGATAGGAATGGGAAAAGGACAACAGTACAGGCAAATGGAAAAAATTCATGCAGGCAGGTTCTCACAACTGTCACTACCAGTTCCTGTAATTTTTCAAGGTGCACCTTAAAATCTTTTTTTTTTAATTATCTGGACTCTCTCTATAGGTTGACTGCTTGTTCTAGACTCATGATTCTGTGGTACAGCAAAAGACACACTCATATTAAGTTATTTACTACTACTGTGTAATGTGAAAATCTTGGCTTCTTAGAATTATTCTGTCCATATTTTGGTCACTTCAGAAGAATTTCTGACTTTTTTTTCTCCATTATCAATAAGTAAGAAACTGTGAAGTCAAACTTTCACCAGTAGAGCCACCTAAAACATCTCACAGCCATACCATGCTGTTCTCAGAAATCCTGCAGTAGCAACACAATTAAGTATGCAGTCATAACTTAATGTGTGTTTCATAATCACTGGATCAAGGCAGTATGTTTTAAACAACAGCAACTTGATAATGATACTGACTCTTGTTCACAAGAGCTGTGATCACTGATCTGCCACATATCTTCTCTATGGGTTGTTCCCCATTCAAGCCAACCTCCATGTACATTGCTGCCTCAGCCCAAGGAAGCATTCCTTTTGAGGTCCGGCCAAACAAGGACACAGTGGATTCCAGCTGATGTGGATAATTCTGAGAGTTGTCTCTGCATCAGCACAAAACTGCAAATGAAAGCTTTGATCTAACTGAAATGAAACACAAAGTAGGGGCTTTTCCCTAAAGGGAAAAGGAAGACCCACCAAACTGGACCCATGCCACTTTATTATAATCAATACCTTGAATTGTATCTGGAAACAAAGAATGAGCTGGTACCAATGACAGAAGGGCATGGCAGAATATCTTTCACACAACTGTATCTCAGCTTCTCTCAAGTGGAGAGCAGAGCAATTATTCATTGACACAGCTGACGCCAGAGCCAAGAGAGACTGAGAAATGTAATGGTATGGGTCTGTCCCCAAATCAGAAAATTATGATGTCATTAATGTTCTTGAGACTTTAACATTATGTTTTCTATACTATGTTCTACTTTTGTTATCCTGGATCAAAAGAAAAATTGTCCTAGCCCAGTATCCTTGCTCTGGAAGTGGCTAGCCACAGAGAAAAATGGGACCATTAGAGTTCTCTGATTTATTTCCCCATCTTCACATTACCTTTTGAACTCTGAACTTTTAGCTGCTAAGCATACTGTGACAGGCTTCTTTACAACTTGCATCCTTGACTATGAATTTTTGTTTCTTTAAGCTTATCACATTGTTTGTATTAGACAGTGAACAATAGCAAGCTGTCCATCCATCCATTCTATGACAAATTTTTTAGACCTCTCCAATACCGCCTTTTAGCAGTGTCACTTCCTGAGCCAGAAAATCCTTCCATTTCTCTGTCTCCCCTTCCTTTCAGCAGCTGATCATTCTTCCTTGTCCTTTTTTGTATTTTTCCTGCTGCTGGACACAGAGCTCTAGCTGTTTTAAAATCCTGATCTCCTTCCTGTTAGTTCAGAGTGTGTTTACGGTTGAGGTTATTTTAAGTGTTTTCCATCTGCATCCCTTTGTAAATATCAACATTAAATTTCCCCTGCACTTCCCTTTGCTTTTTGATACTGTGAAATTCCTTGTTAGCTTTTATTTTTACAACTACGAATAGCATAATACCACCAGCAACTCAGCAGTACAACAACCCCCTACTGTGAACCATTACAAATTGACAACAACCTGCTGCATCTGCTGACTCCAAACATCCACAAGAACACACAAGGATGTGATCCTCTGCTCTGTGCAAGAAGTGCTAGCTTTGAGGAAATAAATAAAACAGTCTTACCTTTCCAAGAGGCACATTGACATCAAGGCCAAAGAATAAAGGCAAGAGAGAAGAACAAGAACAGAAATAGAAACTGCAGAAGAAAAATAAGACTGTGTAAAAATGAAAGGTAATGGCATTGTATGCATCATAATTATTTTTGCACTCTGTAGAACAATTAGAATATTTATTCATTCAGAAAACACTGTTATTTCCCTTGTTACTTCTCTAAGTACCACACCACCTCCCAGACTTAGAAGACAGATCCAAATAATTTTGGTGATGGATTACAATTGGCACCATATTGAAAGCCTGAGGTGTAATTGTCACATCATGATACCCATGACAAGTCACAAAGCTGGATAACAAAAATAGGATGCGTAGTATTTTTAAGTGTGTTAAAAGCCAGTGGCTGCAATCCATGCTAGAAATAGCCTGGATATATAAATGCATAAATATAAATATATAAATATCTATGTATACATATGTATGTTTACAGGTACCTAGACACACCCATATCAAACACTAACCATTACATTTTTAATAATGTAATGTACAATTTTAAGATTAAAGTCTGTGTCTACTGACAAACTGAAAAGAAAGGACAGTGGACCACCACCAACAGGTGCAGCTGACTGAGCAGAACAGAAAGATCATATAGTTCAAGAGAACTGGATCACTACTTTCAAAACAAAGTTAATCAGTATGCTTTGAAGGATAACAGAACCAACCTTTTCCTCCAGATCCTTAATTTGTCTCTTTTGGATGTCAGTTTTATCTTCTAAATCTCGGATCCTCTGGAAATCAGAAAAGAAAGCATATACACTAAATTCTTAGTAAATCTATCCCACTGAACAAGTAGCTTAATATTTTTGGCACTGAACAAGTACCAAAAACCTAGAAATCAACAAATCCATTTCTGTGGCAGGGACAATCTTGTGTCATACTGTGACTCCATCCACTCATCCCGCCAAACCACATCTTTACCATGTGTGCAACTGCTCAAAATATGATCCTGCATATATGTAACTGGATCCCTAAATGCTGGAAATTAGTATCAATGTTGATCTGTTTTCACATTATCTATTTATTAATCCTGTATTAAACAGATCGAAAGTGTAAGATCATGGTTATAATCTTTAGAATTCTATCATGATTCATTACTATTTTTCACAATTTGATGTGCTGAAAGAGGATTAATGTATTGGGTCCAAAATGATAAATGTATACAATACTACGAATGTATTGATTCTGTGGTGAGTGACATACATGTAACTTATAAACAAGGTGTGTATTTGTAGCAGAGCTAGGTACTTTAAGAAAAATTATGTACCATGACAAACTCTTGCCTGCTTGGTAGGAGAGATCCCCCAGAACAGAACTTCTAAGTATAAGAAATGAAGCCTTAAATCTCAGTATCTTTTTTAAAATTAAGTCAGGTCATAAAACAGCTGTCCAGCAAATAGCAGAAATCCAAAGAGGCAAAGCAGGAAACACCTGAAGGCCTGAGCACCTGGGAACAGGTGACCTGTGACTGTCTTCCTCAATGTCTGGAGGTGAGATGACTAGCTTATGGCAGCAAATTCAAATTCTATGGAACCACAAAATCACAGAATGAGTCAGGTGAGAAGGGACCACAGCAGTTCACCTGGTCCCACCTCCCTGCTCAAGCAGTGTCATCCTAGAGCACATGGCACAGGATTGCTCCTAGATGTCCTTGGAATAGCTCCAGGTAGGGAAACTATACATCCTCCCTGGGTAATCTGTTCAGTGCTTGGTTACTTGCACAATGAAGAAATTCTTTTTCATGTTCAGGTGGAACCTCTCATACAAGTTTCTGCCCACAGCCTCCTGTCCTATTACTTGGCTACCTCCTCCTTCCTTTGCCTCTCAGCCACTTCCAACCGTGCCTGCAACTGAGACTGGCTCAGAGTTGTTCTGACAAGCCAAAACTGCTATGGCAGTGTCCCTCAGGGCAGTGTCCCTCGGGGCAGCTGTCATGTTTAAAATCAAGAAGCTTCTTACGCAGCAAAGGCCTGACAACAAAAGGTAAGGGTGGACCCAGTCTCAAGTGCCCAACTCAGATCAGGCAAGACTGTGAGAACAGAGCCTTCATGTGAACCAAATCCCCCTAACCACTGGGGATGTGCTTCTGGTCTTACTCCTATAAACGTCTGAATCAGATCTGTTTCATGGTGCAGCTTTCATGTTATTCAGTGAGCTGTGACAGTTTGCCATTTTGCTCTGGGACTTCACAGCTTGCAGAGCAGCAAACATCAGTCTTTTAAGGTGAAAGGCAGTACCCTATCTCAGCAGTGAAAAGTACAAATGCCCACTTGGAAGGGACAAGTAGTATCTGGAAAAACAGACAGCTCTTCTGTGCCATATGAGCCAGCAGCATTTACTCCGTTTCTCTTGTGCTCAGTCCAGTAACTGAGGATTAGCATTTTTGTTACAAAGATAGAACTATGCAGACAGAATTCTGGGTGAAAACTTTAGGCTAGAATTTTAAAACTCAAAATATGCCAAAACAATCTTGCACAAGCTATTATCACGTTTGCTTGCATGCACAGAAAAGACAAAGTATTGGACAATTCAAAAAGCTAGATGCCAAGCTCCCTCATGGCCTGCAGCTTGCCTAGATTTGAGCTCAGATTGTGCTCTTACACAGAAAGGTTTAGATACCACATGTGTGTGGTTTCTTCTTCTTACCTGATGAGCCTGCTGGAGCAGCTCCATCCTCTCCTGAAGAATCTGGCAGTCATACTCTCTGCTTTTCCTCAGCATCTGACGTCTTAGCTTTTCTACTGCTGTCCTCAGCTCTTCCTGCTGTTTTTCAGTGAGTAGTTCCCCAAACTTTATCACTGTTTCTTGCTGCAAAGCATTGTACAAGGTGGCTTCAAGCTCCTGGATCCTCTGGTTGATGCAATACCAAAAGTCAATTAGAGATGATTGGAAACTGGGGGATTGGTGGCAGATTCAGACCCCTGCATGAGAGGCAGTCCCTGTGCTTAAGTGTGCAAAAAGGTGAAAAACTGAACTCTGAAAATGGTTCTATGTTCTGAAAAAAGGATAGGAACTTTTATTTTTAAAATATTTTAACTTTCACTGAAATCCTTCACTTCAAATCTTTTTTATGGAGTTAAGAGTTGGATGGGATGTTCCTATCTGAAGTGTAAATTATTTCACCAAATCTAAAATTTCCATCTGTTGCGCTAAAAAACTCCAACTGGACAAGCCAATATTAATAAGCAATATCTGCCTTAAACTGACAAGCATTTCAGACTTCAGGAGATGTGCCTTTTTATGACATGAAAAGGTGAGATATTGTGTTGAAGCTATGCAGATTGCATGCTAGTACATCAAAAGAATGAGGAAAGAACAAATTTAAAAAAAACCCAATACTAACAAAAAAGCAAAAATCTCTCCTCCCAATTAAACAAAAGTCTGTGTGCTATTGCAGAGTTGGCCAGTATGTGCTTGCTGCCAAATTTACTTTGTACATACCATGTACGCTTGGTCAAGAGCTTGCTTTCTGTAGTCTAATTCTTCCTCCAAATAACCTTTTATTTTGCAAAATTGCTCCTACAATGAAGGATCATTTGGACAGAAAAACAAATTAGTTACTCCAAATACTTTAGGAAGTTTTATCAAATAATTTACAGATATCTAATTCAGCAGGATGAGGAGACTGGTTTTTGACTGATACTCAGCAGAGTTATTAGTATCTGACTCAGCTAGAAAAGAAGGAAGAGCAAATAGCTGTAGATTGCTCTTGTGCGTGAATACATCTGATGTACATGGAACTAAATGCATCCTCTCTGTTGGCTTCAGTGGTATTTCTTGACATTTCAGTAGTGAAATTTAGGGTGTTCTGTGTGATTTTTCTAGAGATACTTGCTCTGGCATCAGGAATTACTCTTTTTGTGCCTTCTCTTATTTTGGAAGAGGTGCAAAAGTGGACTGAACTAAACAGGAACTAACTACGTATTCACATTCCTTGGGGGCAGCTGCTGTGCTTTATCAGTCCACCTTAAGCCGAACAGACTTAAGTACAGACATACCACCGGAACAAAACACAAGCCACTACAGCTGTCCAATTCCTGTAGTTATGTTTGTTCATCTTGTAGGCTACTGCCATTAACTACAATAAGAACAGGGTAAGGTACTAACCTTACTTAGTATGTAATGAAAGCCAACAGTGTTACTATTCAGTTCAACAATTTCTCACATGCTGGTCTTGACTAAAAGGCAGTACAACAGCTGATGTTTAGTCTGTGAATCTTATGAGACAAATAATGCATGCATCCCTGAAAATTATTGAGAAACCTTTGAACCCTCTGTACTTGTTAATAAATAGTCATCCTCATAGAAAGAGAGAGGAATTTTTTTAACTTTTACTATTTCTGTTACTGTTATTCTGCTGTTGCATGTGATCTGGACCAGGAACAATTTTATGGATTCACCAATAATCAGAGAAATGCTGCACAGTTCATTTGTCAATACACTTTTCTAGTTATTTTTTGGCACGACAAGTAAGTGTGACATAATCAGTGTCTCTAAAACATGTAATAAGGAAAGTTTAAGTTCTTACCATATCACTTTCCAGTTCCATCATCTTCTGATGCAGAGCAGCTTCAGCTCCCTCAATCTGCTGGATCCACTGGAAAGAAGACAATGACACCTGTAACCTGCTGTGTTTTCTAGCACACAAGCAGTGGCAAGTGGGATATCTACAGCATCTTGTTAGTCTGTTTTTAGCAGCCTATTGCTGCTGGGCTCATCTTGAGGCCGTTTGTGACAGAGGCCAAGATGTCTGCAGGTAGTACTTGGCAGGGAAGCAAGAAAGAGGATTACCACTGCTGGGTCACTGGAAGATGGAAAAGCACATACCCTTGGATGGACAAGGAACCCATTTTATCCCACGGATAAAGGCCCACAATGGGGCTATAGCATCTCAAAAATAGCTTAGTTGGCTTTATGGCAGTTGTTTGAAGAAGAGGCATTTTTATGCAGAGTCCTTGGAAGCTGTCCTGTTGAAAAATCTTTGTGCTCCATTTGAGCCTTAGAAAGCAGTTTTAACCAACCCCCACTTTCTTCTTAATTTTTGAAACAAGAAATGTAGACACATACTTTCAGTGAAATTTTGGCATACAGATGCTTTTGGAAGTTTTAGAATCTCAGGGCTGTAAATCCCAAACTTTATCTAATTATGCAAAGCTTAAATTTCTGATGATTTCTCATTCAGTTTTCAATTGCAAGTTTTGTTTCATGTTGTTTTTGAATTTGTAGTTTTTTCTACTGCACAGCTTGGGCTAGCTCAGTTTGTTATTTTTGCTGCTTCAGCAAGGTGTTTGGGACTGTGCTGGCACAGTTTATTTTATTTGGGGAATACTCCCAGCAGTAGAAAGTTTAATGATACTGATGACAACAACAGGGCAGAAAATGTTTTAGATGAGGCTTCAGATAACACGTGGGAAAAGCTAGCATGCAATTTACCTTTTCTGCCAAGGACAATACCGTGGAAGCCTGAATTATGGCCACTTGTTCTTCATTCCTTAAATTCTGTGAAGAGAAAGACAGGAAAGAGGAAAAACTGGCAGCAGTTTCCTTCATGAACAATCCAGCCTACAAACCAGGTCCACAGTTTTCAGAGGATCTCTGTAGTACTGAGTATTCAGTTTCCACTGAAATATTCAGTCTGTTCACATATTAAGAAGACCACTAGTTTTGCCTTTCTACATGATATGAATTAACTGTATCATTCATTTCATTACACTGTAAGAGAAACGTAAACTAAAATTAGACCCATTTGTTTGTCTTCATGCTAGTTTTACAAAACTGAATTTCAATTAAAGCTTTTGTAAAAACAGTGCTGATCTACATCAGTACGTGATCCTTTGTTTTTATTTTTTTATAAACTTTTTAAAGACATATCTAATGTTGGCCAGAGATCCAGCATCTCTTTTACATGAGCAGCTATGCCCTCTTAGAAAGCCACAGGGAATCTGGTAATTCTTGCCTATTTATGAAACTGTTAGAAAGAATCCTAGACCTGATGAAGAGCGGTTTACTCAGACTGCCAAACTCCTTCATGTGTTTTCCTGAGTGAATAGGGTGCAGTTGGGCCCAGTCCCAAGTATTGGTGGTCTTTGGACATTTTTCCCAGTCTGCTAAACCATATGTAACAGATGCATAATTTAACAAGTACCTTTGGAAACAGTCATAACTATACATAACACTTACTGCACTGTACAAAATGCAGCTTGTAAAGACAAAATATCTCCCATTTCAACTTACCCCATTATCACCTAGGATGTCTAACTGCTTTATAAGGTCTGGGATGCTGACATCCTGCAAAGAGAGAGTAAGGTAAAGGCATGGCATCCACCATAATTTTATCATGGCTGCAATATCCATCTATCCTGTGAACCACATGGAAGTCAGCCACTTTGTTTTATTCTCCGGAAATGCATCACACATTGATTTCAGTTGCCTTCAAACCAGATTTTATCATTATGGAGAGAATTTTGAGTTTAATTGAACTGTGTCTGTCACCACACTCTTACATTAGACCAAGTTTAAATACGTGAAGTTTAATGGAGTTATCTGTAATGGATTATATGGGCAGCACCCACCACTCCTCTAGGGAGAAGCACTGCTTTATACAACTGACATACCTTAACCCCTTCCTTCATGCAGTAGATCTGTAGAGCACTCACACCATCTGAGAATGGGTGAATTTGGAGATTAAATGGTGGGGACCGTCTCTCTCTTTCCTGCAAATTAATTGAAAAGATGCTAGAGAATCTATTAGAATGAAAGAGATGCACATAGACAATGCCATAGTTGCTGTTTATATGATGCTTGGCTTGCAAAACCAAGCTCTTCATTCTACAAGCCAAGGAAAGAAAATGTAGACCGAGTCTGAAAAAGTGAGCCAAGTGGGACAGGATGCTAAATCCAAGGTAACTGTTTAACAGGAGAGATAAATTATAGATAATAATTAGATAAATTATGTCAATTTGCAAACTGGCTGTAGAAAGGCTGTCACCTAGCTAAGATTCAAGTGATTTGCTTTATTAAGTGTTGAACAACTCTACATTGCTGTAAATACTCCCTTTAGAAACAGGTGTTTTACTTCAGACTATTGGGAGACTCAGATTACACATTCTTCTCATCCTGGTATGCTGTACATTCTAACATCTGTGGAAAACCATGTGTTCAAAAAACTGATCAACTTAGCTATTTATAGACCTTTATTGCTTAAAATTTACAAATATTTGTTCAGTTTTAAAGGATCAGAGACAAGAAAAAAAATTGAAGATGCTATTTCTCATTCCTTTAAGGTTCAGGCAAGCACGGAAGTAAAGATTAAACTTCACTTTCACACACATTTTTGGTTTATGAACATGTCATTCACTTGATCAGTTCAGCTCCCTGCCATATGAAAACACAGCTGTCAGACAAAACTGTGAGACAGCTCTATGAATAAGGGGCAAGCCTGACACAGCATTATGTTATGAGAACCAGAAAAGGCTCTGTGTGGCAAATGTATTTGCCCTTGGACAGCAACTGAAAAGAAAAAATAAAAAATAAACCATCTTATACTGGGGAAGAGAGCAGGTGAAGTTTAGGCTGGATGGCGCTCCAAAGGAGAGTCTGTAACTAGAGGCAGTCTGGGAAGAGGGAGCTTGAGGTCCTGAAGAGGCTTCTGAAGCTCCTGCATCAATGTCCAGTGTCAGCTGATAGACTGTTTGCACCCACTGCAGGTCATGGGAGAGCTGCTCAATAGGGAATGTGTCCAGTGCCTGCAAAAGGAACAGCACCTGCACATGGGCAGACAGGCGTCTCCAAGTATTAGAAAAATCATGCCCACAGGTGTGGCAGCTAAGAAGCACACTCATGTTAATCAGCTAAGCTGACCTGTGTACACTGGGCACCTGGCCCAGGCTGAAGTGAACCAGCTGGGTATGGTGCTTACTATTTCCAGGATATTAGAGCTGATATACTTCAGCTCACAATTAAAAATGCTGGGCCTGATTTGTGACTGTTTTATTGCTACAACACTTGTGTAAATCCTTTATTAAAGCTGGTGTCCAGTGCAAGTGCAGCCGTTTAATTTTCTACCAGCTCTACTGTAAGAAGTGCATCCATCACCTCCAGCTCAAGGTTGCGGAACTCCAGCAGCTCATTCTGGTCTCGCGCATCCTGCAGCTCCTGGTGCAGACGGTTGTTTTCTGCTTCCGTTTTCTCTATCTAACAGAAACATGTAAAATCATGACCTGTGTGACTGTTGCAAGAACCATTAAGTATTTGGTGAGTAGTAGTTGAGGTAACATAGGCTGTGCAAAATCTAAACCCTTAAGATGTTTCACAGGATCCAGATAACCCTTCAGAGTGAACATGCAAACCTTTGGAACGTACCTTGTCTAAAAGCTCTTGGTTCCTCTTAATGAAAAGCTGCTTGTCTTCCACCCAGTGTGAGTCCTGTTGAATGAAGCAGTAGTATTATAGAATAATCAAATTCTACGAGGCTGTGCACATTTATTAAAAATTGGAGCCACGATATTCAGGCTTTAACATCCTACAGGAACAAGCTGTCTTTTACAGAACAACATAATTTTAAATTTACCAAGGTGTACCAAGTCTTCTGAAGTTGCCAGATCTGCCTCTGACTGGCAACATTACATCTCGTGGAAGTTTGAACTGAAATTGTGCTTGGCATTTTGTAAGCAGAGCAGGCAAGATACAAAATAGGAAAAAAAAAAAAAAAAACCACACAAGAATTAGTTACCTGCCCTTTCTGAGCCAAAGTTTTCTCCAAATCTTCTATTTTGGCTTTATACCTCTGGACCTCAGCTTGAAGCTGCTCCTGAGCCTGTTGAAGTCAAGCATCACATTAAAGAGTAACAAAACCCACAGTGTGACTGGTAGTAAAAGGAAAACAAAACCAGCAGAACCTAGGTTCATGCTGTCAGTTCTACTGAGTGAGCAACCATTACAAAGATTCTGACTTGGTGATGTTTTGTGCCACCCCTTAGACTGGCACACAGATGACCAAGAGAACAGAGCAGTGGATCAGCCCCAACTCCCCACCCAAGCCTGTTCCACCATGGATTGTATTGGAGCAGCAAAGCACAAGCTCAGGTATTTGGGGTGCTTTGCCCCAAGGCCCTCATAAGGGCCAATCCCTAAATTACAAAAAAAGTGCTTAGCAGATCAGAGTGGTAACAGGTAGTGGGAAGAGGCAAATTTAACTGCCAGGGGGTTCTTCAAGAGCTGACTCAACTAAATACTAAACAAACTGATATGATCTCACAGCTAACTGCTTTGAGCAAGAATTTGGGCTGGAGACTGCCTGAGGTTCCTTCCAGCCTGAATGATTCTTTAATTTTATTAGAGGAACATTTATTTTATTAGAGGAACATTACCTTGGAAGGTTTACTGTAGCCTGCATCACATTAAAATTTGAATGTAATTTGCATTTATCTATTAGAAACATTCAGATGTCCCTGAAGTTAGTGCAATGTGTGCCTTTGTGAAAACCCACAGGCCTTCATTTGCCTTTAAAACCCAACCCCCATCACACCTACACAAATTATGAGAAAACTCTTGCGATTCTGTGTCAGGCTGCAGAGTTGTCTGCTTTGGCATGACTGCCTGACTGCAGAGTTTTCAGGTTCAGGTGAAGTACAGTTTCCTGTAAACTGCGTGATTGTGTCCATTCTTAGTGGTCACTCTCTTTCAAAATGTACTCAGTAAATGAGTGAACAGACATTTCTCAGTGTTGTGGATGCTGTATGTAGCACCATTCCATTGTATGTCCCTTTGAGGGGCTTCTTGTCCTGACAACAATGAAATACTCAAACCAATACTGACCCTGGCTTCTCTTTCAGCATCTATGACCCCTCCTGTCTGTTCCTGCAGCAGTGCATACGCTCTCTGCAGGGCCTGGTACTCCTTTGTCAGCTGTCGAAACCGCAGCTCTGACTCTTCTGCTGCTAAACCCTGAAGAATAAGAAGGGACATGTCTAAGCCATGGAGAGCAAAGCACTGTCAAAGCAAAGAATGCAAAAGTGATTTGTTAAGCACAGTAGTTGGTTTACAGGTCTTGACTCAAATAGCATTTTGGATCACAGTGTGTAAGCTTGCTGTGATCTGAAATAAAAAAAAAGGGGAGATTATACAGCATTTATATCACAGTATCAGCCGAGTTGTCATGTCAATCACTGTAACTCTTTGATATGTCTTTAAGCTACAAGAAATGTGATAGGTTTGTTTCCTTGAAAGAGGAGAGGAAAAAAAACACCTCAAACTGCAGGGTAGTTATTCCTCTAGACTCTACAGACTATATTGTGGAAGAAACTCTCAGCATTTTAGTATGGGAGTTACAAAAATTAAGGTCAAATTTAAAAAGTATTTATCAGTCAGTATGCACTATAAAAACCTAAGTGTTCTTGAAAGCCCAACCACTTGTTTTCAAAGTCATCTCTTGAAAACCTGTAACTTGTCTGTGGCAAGAGTCAGAGCTTACCTCATCCAGATCATCATCTGGGGTTGCTGGTGTCCTGTCTGTTCTATATGAGGCCACAGAGGATGTTTCAGAATCCATAGAATCATCATCATACCCAAAAACTGTATCCACCACATGTCTCTATAGAAGGAAAAGCATGATTTCTGAACCTTCATGTAAACTTGTAGCATGTATTCTAGAGAGCAGCAGAGGGGGAAATTGCTAGTTACTTAAAAGATGAGGTGTGAAAAGTGAACAGTGGGCTACCCCTGCAATTACCATCTTTAAACAAACTCAGAGGAAATCCACTGAAGATCAGGTCTTGTGCTGATGGAGAAAAAGTTTGCTGGATAATTTTTCTGAGGGTCTGTCTCAGTCTAATTGGAAAACATAATGTGAGTAGCAACATGCCAGAGGAAAAGTCTCTGCCCTTACAGGAAGGCAGGAGAATTGTTTGTTAACCATGAAGCTCTTCAGAAGACATCTATCAACATGCAAAGTGTAGTGTAGTGTAGTGTGCAAAGGTTACACCGTAAGGAGCTGGAAACATGTGTAGAATAGGCAGCCCTCCTTCTTCTCTCACCGACACTGCTGATACTTTTAATGTCTGGGTGCTTCTCTTACTGATATTGCTGTTGGACTATATGAGTGAAAGCCATGCTAATCCAAAACTAACGTGAAGGAACTTTTATTGCATCTTTCCAGGACTACAGTAACTGGCACACGTTATAAACAATTGCTCATGCTCCATAGTTTGGTTGTATGCCTGACACCTCGCTATTGCCAATTTCATAGCTGAATAAAATCAAATTCAAACTGTGAGACATGTCCTGTGAAGACACAGATGCTTGACCCTGCAGGCTTGGTTTCAGGGTACAGATTTGAGCACTTAAATACTCAGCTTATGGGTAATTCTGAAGACAAACTGATCAATGATCAATTAAGATGCACTTCTTCTTAGCAACGTCTTTCACTTTGTTGACAGGTTAAACCTTCTAAACCTGGAGTTTGAATCACACAAAAAACATGTACCAAACATCAATTAGCTTTTGCATATATTACAATTTTTGCTCATTGTGTTGTCAAGTGAAAACAATTGCCATATTCTCCAATGTTATAGTCTCTAGTTTAGAAATAAAATTTACTGATGGAAATACTATTTGGCTCTTGTTGTGTCTGCTATACACCACTTCATGACCCACACAGAAACACTGTGATGACACAACTAGGATTTACTGAAATTTCCAGTGTGTAAACAGTGCTGTGTGACTTTCTCAGAACGTGGCTGATGCACTAAGGGATGTCCCTGGAGGACTAAGTGCAACCAAGTAACCCATATTTCCACTTTTTGGAGATGGGACGTGAATGCTGCAAACTCATGCTTCACATCTAGCTGATTCAGGAGCTATGTGAACTACTCCTGACTACTCAGCTCTACAATTGTTGTCAATTATACCAGCTTTGGACTTAACCCAATTCAGGGCGATTCAAAGGTTAGTCAAAGGCATGTGGAACTGAGCAGGAATGATAGTATCTCAGGCAGAAGTTTCCGCCTGAAGAATAGACATGCACAAGGATTTGGTTTTAGTCCATATGTGCTGTAAAAAACAGATTTTAGGAAAAAAATTGGGAAGGTCTCTGATAATGTAAATACCTCTCAGCATAACAGACCCTGAGACCAATAGTTATAGAAACCAAATGGAAGGACAATTATTACTACTGGGTGGGGGGGTGGGGCTGAGGCAGGGGAGCCGCGGGAAGGACGACGGGTGGGACAGGAGCCCCATTTTGCTGAAAATAAAATAGCTGCACACCCTTAACAGAATTTCAAAATGGATTTAAAAAGCTCTCCCACAGTAACTAAGGAATTTATAAACCTGATCACTAAAGCAGATTGTTATAATCCACAAATCTCTCTTTAATCAGATTGCTAAAGTGTGTTTTCCTACACAGCCTACTTGAACACTGTAAATAAGAAACAAGTTTTCATCTTACCTTGATTGGTTTTGAGCTCCTTTTATGCTTTCTCCGACGAATAAGTTTCTCCCTGTCCTAGAAAGTAAGATTTAAAAGTTACTCTCTCTTCTCTTCTTTGCAGCTGACAGATGGCCAAATATATGGAGGAAATAAATAACAGAAGTTCCAGTGACTCCCTATATATGTCCAAACAGGAATCTGATTCCAGGTAGAAGGAAGGACTCATATCCAAATCTGTATGTGTATCAGATGAAAACCACCTGAAAAAAGCCTTTGTGCATTTGCCTTGAGCAGCTGTCAAACAACAGGAGCCGATGGATTGCCCTCTAAAATCACTGGGAGGCCTGGTGCATGGGTTTGGGCACTGTACAAAGGGCTGTCTGCCCTCCCTGATGAGAAGATGGTGTCTCAAAGTCCCTAAATGATGGGTGTGTTGATCTCACCATTCCTAGCAATGATATCTCAGAAGAGACAGCAGCCTGTTTTGGAATCTTTCTCCTCTGTATCATAATGCAAAGTTCACTGACAAAGGAATTGTCAGCATTAAATGATGGAAGAACTGGAAACCCACTGTCTAGCTGTACATGCTCTTCCAGCACAAGATATGGCACTGTGGGCCAGCCTCTTATTAAGGGAACTTTTTAAGCATGACTTGATTATAATGGTAAAACACCTCGGCACAGCCCTGCCTTGTGAACATGTAGGTACCTTCCCAAGCTCCACAGCTCTTAGTCTGCATTCCTTTCTGGAGCTCAGTTCACAGTGTTTTGGTTTTAGTTGTAGGGCTGATGCTTCACTACAAATTCAGCAAACTGCACACGTGCACACCTACAGCTAAACATCTGCAGATCTTAAAAGCAGGTACAGTATTAATGCTCAGACCTCTAGTTATAAGAAGAAATACTGTCAGTGTTAAACTGTACACAGCAATCATTCCCAATTTCCTTGTGCTTTGGACATACCCTTGTTAACTCATCAATTATGTTCTGCTGTTCTATAACCTGAAGCTTTAAAAATTCAGTTTCTTGCTCCTCATTAGCCTGATCCAGGTCATTGAGAGATCTTAATTTCTTCAGAGGAGGATGGGATGTTATTTTTTCTCTCTGTGGTAAGAAAAGATAAAAGAGATAAAATAAGATTCAGCAATTCAAAGACTACCTTTCAGTTAAAAACTAAGCATCACCTTTCATTTAAGCTATACAGATCTTTAAATATGCTTCATCTACACAATTTTTTTATTCATGTCCATCAGCACTTCTTAACAATAAAATAGCACAGCAAGGCTGAATTCTTCAACCAGAACAACAAAGCTTTATCTAATTTGTTACCATGTGAAAGTACAACCTCTACAGCCCTTAAAGGTCACATACCATAGCTCTTCCTTGGCCATGAATCAAGATGCCCCCACATATGGCAAATAGTTGAACCTGTCCAGTGGGTAGGCAAACAGTATCTACTCTCACAACCCCATGTCCTTACTGATAGTCAGTGTAGGACCACACACAGTAAGGCAATGGACATGCCTTACTCATGTGAAAGACATGCATCCAAGTCACACCAGGAGGAAAGGCAAAAACTGTGGTAGATCTATTTTAACCACAGGTCAATATCCTGCCTGCTCCTGAGCATATGTGGGAAAGGAGATGGCTAAAACATGTGAGAATTGCTTTAGCCACCGACAGCTTGTCAACTTTTGTTATTTGGGCATCCATAGTGTGAAGAGCAGATGTCAGGGAGCTAACTGAGCACATGTACACTGTGTCCACAGATATGCACCAGTGGTGCTGCCCACTGATGCCCAATGCATGCAGATTCCCAAGTCCTTTTCCCTTGGCTGTGGGAGACTCCAAGGGACTGTGATCTGCACTACCACAGCTGTGGAAGAATAATTCTAACCCATGACACCTGCAATAAGTTTATCTGTCTCATTGGTAAATTGCAGAGACTTTAAGTGGATTAACCGTGTAACACTAAAGTCTTTTTTCTGTGGGACAGGAAAGTGAATCTGACCACCTCTGCCCAATCAGCAGGAAAGCTGTTCCCATTGCAGGGCACTTAGCCTGCTCAGGACAGTGGCTAGTACAGGGCAGGGCAAGGTCCACGAACACTTTTAGCATGGGAAGTCATCTCAGTCTGCCAGCCATATCTGGCAACCCAGAACATCCACCTCCTTTTTCATTAATGCCAAAGCCACAACAGTGCATGTGTAGGAACATAAGGCCTGGAAGCAGACTGATAATCAAGGCAATCCCATCTGAAGGATATACAGACATAACTGTTTTGACCCCACTTCATATGGCCCTGACATGGGAAATCTATTGCCCTAACCAAATTTAAACACCACCATTCTCCCTTTCCCCTATCCACCTACCATGTGTATGTTTTATGGAAATATTCTATGTGCTTAGTGCCTTACCAGCAGTTTACTTTGTCATCGTCATCTCTAAAAGGAACATGTACATGATGCAAGAACATCATTCTGGCTGAAAACATCACTCTTAACAGCTTCCTTTTTGAGTTCCAGATAAAAAATAGCTCAGTAGGATATGCCTCAATGATATATAATTTTCCTCTTTCTTTTTTTTTGAAATTATTGAAACTCAATATTCTAACTTTGAAAATATAATTAAAGACTGTGATTATGCATTCATGTAAATATATTGCCCATGTATGCATAATACAATGTTATGGTATATAAATCTATAATAATACAGACCAAACTATGGCTGTATCTTAGCAGCACATTATATACAATGCATATTCTCTATTCATATACATCATGTACTATGCAGATGTGGCTACCAACACACAGATCCTCCAGTAATACCAATTTTGCTCTTCAGTACCAACCATTTCTATATTTTCTTTAGTGACTGCTTTGAGTTTATCTTCCATGCGCTGCAAAGACTGCATAAGTTCATCATTTCTCTTCGTGAGGCACTTGTTCTTTTCCAGAAGAGGTTTACATTGTTTCTCAGCTTCTCGGACACGCTTCAACTGGATTGATAATAGCAATTAATAATTGTCATGAGAGATATGTGAATGTACTTGTAATTTGCAATCTTGACATCTATTTTGCAATTATGACATAAAGTACACTAATGCTGGCTAAACTGATATGAAAGGAGTGCATTAAGATTTCTAGCTCAGGAATAAAAAAGCCCATCAAGAGTTCAATTTATCACTCTCATCCTTAAGCAGAGAAGTAGGAATATAAACAGGTTAAATAGCCAGGGTCCTGATTCAACATATAGATATAACCACAGAGTAGACAATCAGATAAAGGGATCAATTCACAGTTGTCAATTCTTCCTAGACTCAGTACTTCACTATTTTCAACCTGATCAAATACTGGACTACAGACCTAACAGACATTATTTCATTTACAAGGTAAGTCTCACCATGCACAAGGTAAGTCGCCAAGCACGTGCTGCTTAAAAGGAGGGAACAGAAGCATTCACACAGAAACCTACAAGCCTTTCTGCCTCGACCTCTGCTGTGATTTTCTACTCAGGTAATTTCAATGAAATTACTGTTTTATTCTAGGATAAAAAGTCCTCCTCAGCCTCCTGAGTGATTGGCCTGATGGATGGACAAGGTATATTCATTGCCAGCCTTATCCTTGAATCCTCCCCCTCTTTGCCCTTCCCCATGGCTCTCAACCTCCTCTGTCTGCCAGTGCAAAAGCTCACATACCAGTTCATTTCGCTCATCAACAAGCAACGTGTTCCGGTCTTCCAGCTTCCGAATGGTGGCATTCAGCTCTGCTATCCTCTTCTGGTTTCTGCGCAAGTCCTGTGCACGGGCAGCAATGTCACACAGTTACTGATTCCCTTCAAAATACATGCTTGGGAAGAGAATCCTTAAAAAACACACACCAGTCAACCTAAGATGTCATCATCAACAAATTATCTTTAGGGACTTTTACAGTACTGAATATGTTGGCAAATACTTCTTCCTAAATATATATATATCTGGTTTGGGGATACTTCAATTGAAAATTTTAAGCCATTTTAAAAAATTAAGAGAAAACAACCAAACAGATGATAAATTTTTATGACAGAGATAAAAAAGCCAAAATGTTCTAATTTTTATTGCCTTTTCCTGTAGATTGCTTCTATTTGCTGAATCACTACCTCAGGTGAAAAAGCCAGGACAACCCTTTCTGTATCAATTACATTTACTTTATTTCTCATTTGTATACATGTAAACATGCTTTTAAATATGCATTGCTTGTGTAAACATCTTCCCTGTAGTCACACAATGGGTATTTTGTGTGCTTTGTGAATGACACCCAAGGGCTGTCTGTGGGAAACAAAGAGGAGGAGCTTCTAAGGGTCTCACAGATTCTCCACGCCCAGCGTTTTCCTTGCCCCTCCCTGCTCATCCTTGTAATTCTATGTGCTTTTGAGGATGTATGTTACCCAGGTAGTGAGGTTCATCAATGATTCTTTCAAAGAGGCACTGATTGTTTAGGATATTTACATCTGTGACTAGAACAACCAATGAAAACCAGTAGTACAAAGTTTTGTCTAACTAGCATGCCCTCTAAATATTCTGTGGACATTAACTTGTCTGTGGTGAATGAGTGGGAATGTTTTCCTAGGGCCTGAGAAGGTATGTCAGCAAGAAACAAACATCCATGCTACTGTTTTGCAGGGACCAGTAAAACCTGCATACAGGGCTGCTGCAGTGCTCTGAACCATCGCCAGCTCTTCCTGGGATCTCTCTCTTGGGACTGCTCATGTTGCACTCTGCCTCCTTCACCAAAAAGAGCTGTTCATCCAGAGCTTCCTTTTGCAGTTGCAGCTTCTGCACATAGCCTGTCTGTGTCTCCAGTTCTTTCTCCAATGAAAATATGATCCTGTCTTTAGCCTTGATCTCATCCATCTGAATGAAAGAAACACCAGAACAATATTACTGTGTGAAGGCAACAGCATTTCTCCAGTTCATATTGTATGATTTACTTAAGAGCAGTGATCACCCCTCAAATCTGCTCTACCATACTGCATCAGGCCTGTAAAGCAACACAATTTGAGCCATACCCATAACTTGGCACAGAAGCACATTCATTGAGCATTTTGGCAACACAAGAATACACCTCTAGGATGGAGACTGTAAACTGGAGGTGGGGCAGGGGGTATCATTTTTGACAGTTTAAATTCCCACTTATTTTACTTAATTGTCAATTCTTGAATTCCAGTTTTCAAGCTAACCTTTCTACCATTACAAGCAGGTCCAGCTCTCCACATGACAGTGTGTCCTGGTTCTGGCCAGGACAAGGTTTATTTTTGCAATAGCCAGAAGTTATTCTATATCATCTCATGCCATTTTCTGGGGACGGGGGAAAGGATCCTTCTGCATGAGGGTAGCATGGCTGTGGTCAGGTCACAGACACCATGCTGAGCATTTTGCATGTAAGCTGCTTTCCTCTCTCACGTGCATATCTCATTGCTGTTTCCAGTCAAGTGGTCTTACTTCAATTCATGATCTCATCTTTACCTTTTGTGCCTCCAATTCTCCTCTCTAGCCCACTGAGGGAATGGGGAGTGAACAAGTGTCAGTATGGTTTGGAAAGTCTAAGTGGGAACAAAACTGGGACATTTCTAAACCGTAACACAGGGAAACAATGCAACCTGCACCTTTTCTGGTGTGGGCTTCTTTTTGTTCATTTTCCACAGTAATTACTGAAGGCTCCACCAAGTCCAACCCAAAAGATATCTCCTCTCCTGCCATGGTTTATTGTGTTTAGGATACCATAACACAGGCTGGAGAAACCAAAACACTGCAAGTGCAGATGCAAATGCTCTTTATCTAACCCTTTGCACCTTTCATGCATTAATAAATCAGAGAGTCAAATCCTTATGGATTAAGCCAATCACTCTCTTAATTTAAGCTGTTAACTGCCATAACAGTGTTATAGCTGACCCACTGTGATCTATTTATTCCTGACAAATGACAGTGAGAAATCTGTAATACTTTTTCAAGGTGAGTTGCATTGCAAAGATCTGTTACGCAGAAAAAGCTAAGAGACACAAAAGGCAAACTCAGTGCAGCCTAAGAGAACACATGAACTCTTTTGATTACTGACCAGGCGTCGAATATCCCTTTCACTCTCCCATTTGATCTTGGAAATGGCCTCTTGGTGGGACTGATGCTCACTCCGAAGATCGCCTGCCTTGATCTTGTCGGCCTGGATCATATTGTTAAGGGCCTCATCTACCTGCTTTTTGGCAGACTTCAGTTCAGTAATTTCCTGCAGAAGCTTAAGGCGCTCAGAGTCAAACTGTTTCCTGGCCTCTTCCCGAGCCTCAATAGTCAGCGCTGTCCGTACTTTATCACTGCTCCCATCCCGCAGTGCACACAGTGCCGACTTCAGGCGCTGGATTTCACTGTCACGGACTTTCACCATTCTCGTCATCTCCTGCTCGTGCTGCTTGATGAGGTTCTCCCTCACAGCCTGCAGCTCCTTCATTTTCTCCTCATGAAGTTTGGCTTTTAGCTCTGTGATCTGCACGGTCTGCTTGCGTTGCTCCACTTCGCGGATACGCTTCGTTTCTTGAGTCTTTTCTCTTTCGAGTTTAGCAACCTACATTGAGATAAAATGAAAGTCATCTGCTGCCAACATAACATTATCAAAACAAGCCCACCCAGACACATCCATGTCAAACTGAGAAAAAACCCCACTGAGACCCCAGACAATCCTCCACACCCCCAAACAAAATATAGGCCAGCTCCTGAGGTACTCACGTAGATTACACTGTCTTTACTCAAACAAAAACCCTGTCTTCTCCAGGTGTCTTGCCTCACACAATGATGCTACATGTACTTTTAATATTTCCTTACAAAATAAGACTCCGTATATATGTGTGCATTTGTCTAAAAGCTTTTCAGCCCAGCAGCCAAATTCACCAGAAAATTGGAGGGCTCAGAAAAAGCAAAATTCCTACAACTTTCACATACTGCCCCATTTGAGGGCCAGGGATTTCTCCAACTTGTAGCTCAGTAAAATGGAGTCTTTTCCACAGAAGCCACAGGACATCAGCAAATGTTGTAAGTTGGGAAAGAATCAGACCAATTTTTTAGGAGAGTTGTGTGGCCTCTGTTGAATTCTCTGGTACTATTTTTTCCACGTGTTTGTCTTATTTAGCAGACACTTTTATTTAAAATCGAACTCTCTCTCACCTTAGATTTCTCCTGATGCAGCTCAATTTGAATGTCTGTTAGCTTAGTCCTGAGTTCCTCATTGGCAGCCTGTAGGGCAACAATCAGTGCCTCAGGCTTTTCGCCCTTGCTCCGTCCTTTTTTTGACATGTTTTTTTTTATCAGAGAGTCCACGTGTTTATTTCAAATATGGATTGTCATCTTTTTCTGATCCTTTCAGTGTCAGTTAGTTCAGCAACTATTGCGTGACATTCCTTAAGGTCCTAGACTCAGCTGCTTTGGAAGCCCTGTGAGAAATAAGACATACTATTATCTGTCAGCGGACACTGTATCTGGACCACTCACATGCTTACAGAAGACAACAGAGTACTCCCATCTCCACAACACTGCAATTTTTGTCCGAAAACCTACAAGGCAGACCCCAGCACAATAATGCTTCTGAACACCAGCCTGGCACACCTGTGGGAATTCCGTGTTTGCCCTTTTCTGTTCTCAGAAAGAGGTGCTTTGCATGAAGACAGGAGTTCATTTACCATAAAGATTAGTGCTACCAAGAATACGGGACTGGAAGGGACAGGTGATTTACTCCCATCCTTGCAGTCTGAGGTAACCACAAACCAGACATTTTGGTCTCAAAGATCTACCAACAATATCATTCTCAACCCTTTCCCAACCCCTGATCCTCTTCAAGATCCTGTGCCAAACTCAAAGATTCTCTACAGCACTGCTACCATCTGCCACAAGAGGAAAAGGCAAGTGAAGTCCTCAATCAGCATTCCAGGTCTCTGAGGAAGCAGAAAACTAATAACATGCAAGGGCCTGTTCAGGACTAGAAATTGTCCCCATGGAGTGAGAAATGAGTGCCTATGCCTTTTGGAGGATTAAGATCCTAATTTACAAATGAGGCAAGAAATGACAGTATCACACTGTAATCTACCAATTAGGGTTTTAACATCTGGTTATTAACAAATAAAATAAAATTCTGGATAAACATCATCATTATCCCCATATTAATTTTAATTTTATAGCATTATTATTCCCATTTGTGGCCACTAGCTGAGAGAATGTCTGGAGACCTGGTATATCAGTTTGGTGATGGGCGACTGCAAAGAATAAGACAGAGCACAGTGTAGTGGTAGTGGTGAAACCTTCCAGCAATAACGATTAGTGCTCCAGTGCTAGATTCCAGGCAAACTTTCCACTGTTACTGTCAGGTTGCACATTAATTTTTAAGTAAAGAGACCTCCAAATATGAAAGACTGTTTATATAAAAAAAGACTTGCACACATCAGTGGAAGGAAGGACAAGAAAAGTACTTAATGTCCCTGTGTCCCATGAGGGAATTTTGAGGCTGTTTCAGTAAGTCCAACCAAACCATCATCTGAAGGCATTTCCTGCAACACTTTACTCACCCCTGTTCTTCTTTAGAACACTACAATGACAGCATCAGGACATTTTTACAGCAGCTTAATACTAAGGCTGATAGAGAAAGATCACTTGTGAACTGTAGGCCACTTTCCCTGTCATGTTCCAGCTGTGGAGTGCTGTTTGTACAACCGAGAGCATCCACAAACCTTGTTTAGGCAGAAAAAGCATATGGGATCTGCCATCAGTATCACAAAGCAGGCAAAGTACAGTAACAAATCTCCTGTTATGTATGGTGATACAGTCAATAGGGAAACTCAGATGCATTTCAGAACAAAAGGTTCTGCTTCAGCAGTAGTATTTCCTTTCAAAGTCAAACGAGCAATCTCACACACTAAAAATTTCTCCTAATTAAGGCTGTCTCCCCAGTTAGTTATTACACAGAGGTACGAGCAAAACTTTTAGATGTAGTCTCTGCCCCGACAATCTTACAACTTGTTCAAATATCCAATTCACTTACTGTGAACCAAGTACTTTCCAAAACACAGAGAAACCTGTCCCTTTTCTAACACCAGATGCTGCTGTCCATTTTGACTGCACACCATGCTTCTGTACCACAGCCATCACAGTCCTTTACTCTTAATGCATCTCCCAGCAGGCCTCATTACAGAAGAATATGCAAATAGCTGTACATTTATAGCAAGTAGAAAGACTGCTAATTATGCAACAGCTGCCCAATATGAGAACCACCAAATGCAAGAGGCATCTGAAATAGCAAAACTCATAGAAAACACTTGTGTGAAATAACTTTACAGGAGAACCACTGCAAAACTGGTTCCAGCCTCATAATAAGAAGTTCCAATCTTATAGAATAGATATCCAATTGCCTACCCAAGTACAGTTTAAAAAAAACATACTTGAAATATGAAGAAATGCCTGCAGCTGAAAACCACTTTACCAGTCTGTACAGTGCTAAAGTGAAAGGGACCTTCGCCATTGACTGGAACAGGAGCAGAAACAGGAGACCAATATGCCTGCCATGATACCTAAATCCATAACATGTACTTAGAGATGAGCCTGGGGATTCAGAAAAAAAGAAGGAAAAAGAATTCCATTAACTCTTGGAATCTTAATCAGCCATACTGCCTTTCATCTTGATGAATGAATAAATTAATGTACGCATGTTTCTTCTTGCTTTTAATGATGCCCTATAATTGTACCAGAATGCTGCAGTGATGGGTATTTTGGATGGGCTGAGAATTCATAGCTCTGATCTAAGAACACTTCAGCAGTGTTAAGCAGTATCCAGACTATTCATAATAACACAACCTAATTTTCTTTCCCAAGAAAGATACAGAGAAGCACCATTTAGCCCAATTAACTTTTAAATATAAAATAAGATTTAAAGTAAAGCATAACTGAACAGTTCCCTTTGTTGCACAGGTGCTATCTGCTTTAGGTGTTTGTTGAAGATGGGCACGAGTACCCAGCTCTTATCTCTGCTAAGTAACCTCTCTGGTTTGGATGCCTGGGCTCTTTTCAGTGTCTCTCCAGCTCTCTTTACCACAGACTTGGATGTTAAAAGACACATACTGTAATCATAGGTGTGTGGCATACTAGACTGAGAGTCAAATGGAAATAACTTGCACTACAGTAGACAAGACTGCAGGACAAGCTGGAGAGAAGAATAGAAAATATTCACTGACAGATGTCGCATGATGAAGGTAATTGCACTACAGTTCAAAGTGGTGATTTATCAGTCCCAGGCACAGCTCTCTAGAACAACTGTGATTAAAAGCATGAGTTACATTATTTTAGTATTTCATCATAATTCAGCATGTCAACATCAACCCAGAAACTCAGCTCAGACTTGACAAACAACTCTTCAGGACAAATCCTAATCACCCTCTGATTTTGACTGCACAAAAATCACTGTATTGTAGTTAAGATTTCTAATCAACACCATAATAATTTTCAGGAATATTAAAATACCTTCTGAACTGAGCTCACAATATGCCTTGGATATGAGGCTCTACACAAGGAATATGGGATGAATCTGGTGCTGCTAGGCTGCTCATGCTAAAATTACCATTGGCCCTTGCTCTAAAACATGAACCAAAAAAACCCTATCCAAGCTGGTGACTCCATGGAAACAGTAAAAAGGGTACAGAACCATTATTGTTACCCGCAGCAAAACTAAGCAGATTTGTTAAAACAATATCTAGTATTTTGTGGCTAAAATACCATCTGTCTTTCTCACAGTTATCTTCCTAGAAGTTGGTATAATACAATGCACACTGTGAACACTAACAGTGCAAGAGAAAATCCTGCCCTATCCCAAAAGCAAGTGGACATTTTTCAGAATCAGTACTTTTCAGCATAAGATGCAAATGGATACTGACCGAAGGCTCTACTTAAGAATGGCAGGATTGTCAGAACAAGGAAAAGCTCTAACAACCTGCTCAGCTCACTGAAAAGTTGGGGGCCTAACAAAACATTTTAGTGGTTTTGTACTTTGTGCATTATTTCATGCACCATCTAAAAGACAAACACTGCAATTCATGGAGTTTATTGTATCAAGTTCTCCCTTTATTTGATTTTAACAACCCAACAAAACCCTCTTTTATTTAATTGAAATGCATATAAACAAGAAAACAACAGAGAGGGAAAGTTCATGCCCCAGATCCTTCTCCTGAAAACCCTTCCTTTTCCTTCCAAGGCTGTATGAATGATCACCCATCTTAGATACCAGAGGAAGGTATCTTATATCCACTACTAAAAATTATCGGATATTTAAGTAATTTCTCTCCTTAAAGTAGTAAGGTTAACTTTGGAAGTTTTTGCCATTTTTAGCTCAGCTCTTGATACAACCAATAAATGCACATTGGTTTCAGAACAGATAAAGAAAAAATCTGTACTCTGGCCTCCCACATTCACTTTTAACAACACAGACCTCTACAATGAACTGTTTTCTTTTTTTGAATACCTGACTTCCAACCAGATTACTACCTTCTCGCAGTTTCTTATCAACTTGCAGTTCAATATAGCTTCAAAAAACGTATTTTCTTCTCCCACTCTATTGCCATAAATGCCTTAAAGAACCTCATGTACACATTGCTCTAATTTCACGTGTCCTGTATCCCTCTTCCTTTTCCTTCCATTTTCTGTGAAAAGAATACGGATGTTCCCATTACCGAGGGAAGTTCCACAAAATCAAAGCTAGCAGCTTCTCTCTTCACATTAACTTCCTAGCAGAAATGTAAATATACCTTTTAAATTAGTCATTTCTATACATCTTTTAGACTCAAAATACCTCTAAAAATAAAAACATTACAAAAAATAAAAACATTACAGTTTTTTTATTTGCGAATTGTTGTGAACCATACCCTTCTATCATATGAGGAAAGATAGGTTCCTTTGTCATCTCTACAGGCTGTAAACTCTTTAAGAATGGTCTGAAACAACAGAAATCTTTTCCACCAATGTCACAGCTCAGCTGAGAAACAAGTACCTGTTATGCTTGGCCTGTGTCTCCCAACAAAACAATCCAAATGAAAACATACCATGCAGCACCACACGTGCTGACTCAAGTAGCTCTGCTCATAATGGGAAGAACAGAACTTGACAAATAAACAACTAGAATAAAGTGAAACTCATATTAAATCTAGAATTTATCCTTACAGTTTACTATTTAAAAAGTACCCCTGAAAACTTACAGGATGATATTTAGCTGAACTCTGCTACTTTATAAATGAAAGCTGCAGCTTCCGTTTGTATCATGATGACTAGGGCATGATGACTCCTCCCATATAAGCAGGTGCTGAGCTGATTTCTCAGCTGGAAAAGGTGTAAGCATGAAACACCACTCACTAGATGCACCTGAGATGCTGGTTCATACATGATATGACAAAGCACAAAAGGAATTAAGAGGTTTC